AAACCTCTTCTACGTCCTCACCACAAAAATCATCGTTTGAACTTTGCAAATGAACATATAGGCAAGCCTGATGCATTTTGGAAACAAGTTCTGTGGACCGATGAGGTTAAAATTGAACTTTTTGGCCAGAATGAGCAAAGGTACGTTTGGAGAAGAAGGGGCACAGAATTTAATGAAAAGAACCTCTGTCCAACTGTTAAGCATGGGGTTGGATCAATCATGCTTTGGGGTTGTGTTGCAGCCAGTGGCACAGGGAACATCTCACGAGTAGAAGGAAAAATGGATTCAATAAAATTTCAGCAAATTTTCGATGGTAACTTGATGCCATCTGTGAAAAAGCTGAAGTTAAATAGTGGATGGCTTCTACAAATGGATAATGATCCTAAACACACCTCGAAATCCACGGGGGATTACATCAAGAGGCGTAAACTGAAGGTTTTGCCATGGCCTTCACAATCTCCTGACCTCAACATCATTGAAAATCTATGGATAGACCTTAAAAGAGCAGTGCGTGACAGACAGCCCAGAAATCTCAAAGAACTGGAAGACTTTTGTAAGGAAGAATGGGCAAAGATACCTCAAACAAGAATTGAAAGACTCTTGGCTGGCTACAAAAAGCGTTTACAAGCTGTGATACTTGCCAAAGGGGGCAGTACAAGATATTAACTCTGCAGGGTGACCAAACTTTTGTAGACACCATTTTTTTGTTTTCTGTTATTTTGAAAGTGTAAATGATGGAAATAAAATCTAACTTTTGTTGACATATTATAAGAATGTCTAATCTGTAATTTGATGCCTTTTGGAGATTTTTCCATCTTTTCTTGGCTTCTTTATGCACATTAATACAAATTTTTAGCTGGGGTGCCCAAACCTTCGATCCCCACTGTAGATACATTTTGCTAGAGAGCTTGGGCTTCTGAAAAACCGACTTGCTGGCCCGATAAAAGGATGAAAATAGAAGAAAGGGAGCCTAAAATGGAAACTAATAGACATATCCAAGAAGTGGTAAGCTGCAATATACTGCTTGTGTTTAATAATGTTTAAAAAAATACAATTTTGATTTAGAACCACTTTAAATGGTCAGATTTAAGGATTGGCTGGGCTGGCCAGTCCTAGATAAATTAGCAGTTTCAGATCTAGCCAGTAAATTTATTTTGAAAAAATAAAAGCAAACTGCTACGAAGGAAATAAGGAAGGAATAGTGAAGGAAATAAGTATTTGATCCCCTGCTAATTTTGAAAGTTTGCCCACTCACAAAGAAATGATCAGTCTAAAAATCGAATGGTAGGTGTATTGTAACACTGAGAGACAGAATAGCAAAAAAAAATTCAAAAGAAATGTATGTTTAACAAATTATGCACTGATTTGCATGTTCATGAAGGGAATAAGTATCCCCTTCACAAAACATGACTTTGTGATTGCCAACAAAGGATTTGCCACCAAGTACTGAGGTCAGACGATTCCTGTAGTTGGCCACCAGGTTTGCACACATCTCAGGAGGGATTTTGGCCCACTCCGATTGGCAGATACACTCCAAGTCATTAAGGTTTGGTGGCTGATGTTTGGCAACTCGAACTTTCTTCTCCCTCCACAGATTTTCAGTTGGATTAAGGTCTAGAGACTGGCTAGCCCACTCCAGGAGTTTATTGTGCTTCTTCTTGAGCCACTCCTTTGTTGCCTTGACCGCGTGTTTTGGGTCATTGTCATGCTGTTATACTCATCCACGGCCCATTTTCAATGCCCTGGCTGAGGGAAGAAGGTTCTCACCCAAGATTTGAGGGTACAATGCCCCGTCCATTGTCCTTTTTGATGCAGTGCAGTTGTCCTCTCCCCTTAGCAGAAAAAGCACCCCCAAAGCAGAATGTTTCCACCACCATGTTTGACAGTTGGGATGGTGTTTTTCCTCCAACCAGTCCTTCTCTGCATCATTCAGATGTTCAGTGGCAAACTTCAGATGGGCCTGGGCATGTGCTTTTTTTTTTTTTTTTTTTTTTTTGAGCAGAGGGATCTTGGGGGCACTTCAGGATTTCAATCCTTGTTGGCGTAGTGTGTTATCAATTGTTTTCTTGGTGAATGTGGTCCCAGCTGCCTGGACATCATTGACAATATCTTCACGTGTAGTTCTGGAATGATTCCCCAATGTTCTTATGATCATTTGACACTCCACGAGGTGAGATCTTGCATGGTGCACCAAATCTAGGGAGACTGACAGTAGTTTTGTGTTTCTTAGATTTGTGAATGATTGCACCAACTGTTGTCACCTTCTCACCAAGCTGCTTGTCGATAGTTTGGTAGCCCAGTCTAGCCTTGTGTAGGTCTACAATCTTGTCCCTGACATCCTTTGGATAGCTCTTTGGTCTTTGCCATGGTGGTGAGTTTGGAATCTGATTGTTTGATTGCTCCTGTGGACAGGTGTCTTTTTTATACAAGTAACAAAATGAGATTAGCAGCATTCCCTTTTAAGAGACTGCTTCTAATCTCAGCTTGTTATCTGTATGAAAGACAGCTGGTAGCCAGACATCATGCTGAATGATAGGGGATCAAATACTTATTTCTCTCATGAACATGCAACTCAGTGCATAATTTGTTAGACATGCATTTCTTTTGAATTTTTTTGTTGCTACTGTCTCTCAATGTTACAATACACCTACCATTCAATTTTTAGACTGACCATTTCTTTGTGAGTGGGAAAACATTCACAATCAGCAGGGGATCAAATACTTATTTCTTTCACTGTATGTGTGGCAAAAACCTAACACTGCACATCACCCTGAACACACCATCTCCACTCTGAAACATGATGGTGGCAGCATGCTGTTGTGGGGATGCCTTTCTTCAGCAGGGACAGGGAAGCTGGTCAGGGTTGATGGGAGGATGGATGGAGCCACATACAGGACAATATTAGAAGACAACCTGTTAGTCTGCAAAAGACTTGTGACTGGGGCAGATGTTCACTTTCCAGCAAGACAACGACCCTAAACATACAGCCAGAGCTACAATGGAATGGTTTAGATCAAAGCATATTCATGTGTTAGAATGGCCCAGTCAAAGTCCAGACCTAAATCCAATTGAGAATCTGTGGCAAGACTTGAAAAAGCTGTTCAGATGCTCTCTATCCAATCTGACAAGGCTTGAGCTATTTTGCAAAGAGGAATGGGCAACAATTTCACTCTCTAGATGTGCAAAGCTGGTAGAGACATCCCCAAAAAGACGTGCAGCTGGAATTGCAGAGAGGTGGTTCTACATAGTATTGACTCAGGGGGGGCTGAATACAAATGCACGCCACACTTTTCAGATATTTATTTGTAAAAAAATTTTGAAAACCATTTATCATTTTCATTCCACTTCATACTTAGGTGCCACTTTGTGTTGGTCTATTGCATAAAATCCTAATAAAATAAATTTACGTTTTTGGTTGTAACATGACAAAATGGGGAAAATTTTCAAGGGGTATGAATACTTTTTCTCCAAGGCACTGCATATAAAACCAATACAATACTAGACACCACATAGACTATAGCAAATACCTAATGAAATGATGTCCATTATTGGGCTATGATCTATGCACAGATGCACTGCTAAAAAAAAAAACACTTTGGAGTGTAGCATCACGTCAATGAAACTCCTGGGATATTGATCTGGTCAGTTAAGTAGCAGAGGGGGTTGTTAATCAGTTTCAGCTACTTTGGTGTTCATGAAATTCACAGGTGCACTAAATGGGCAACAATGAGATGACCTTCAAAACAGGAATGGTTTTACACTGACTTTTCTTTTTTTTTTCTCCCTACTCCTCTTTTGTGACTGTTTTTCACTAGTTTTGCAGTTGGCTAGGGTCAGTGTCAGGAATCTAGGAGTGACCAGAAAGGTGTGGACTGACACAGGGAAACGCAGGTTTCAGGTATAGTATAATAATACAGTTTATTATTAGCCACCCAGATATATATATATATATATATATATATATATATATATATAAACGCACAGTGAACAAACCAACCTTCCACTAATCTTAGTAGGTGCAGGAACACAGGCGTAGTCAGGGCTGGAGAGGTGGAACGGTCAGGCCGGCCGTAGGGTTCTGTAATGACCGTTTGGTGGTACCTCTAGTGGTCCCCAGGACAGGATTCCCCAGGGCGCGGAGTCTAAGTCCCAGTCTGCTTATTCACCAGGGCCCCTGATGGTAGGGATGGACTTGGAGCAGACAGGAACCAGGTCGCGGCCCCTGAGTACACCTGCTAGTGGTAGAGGGATCCGCCAGAGGTATGTGCAGGTACGGCTGGATCCGTGCTGGATGGATGGATGGCAGAGTAGTTAGCGTGGTCAGACGGGCCAAGTCAGCAACGTGCGGGCAGCAAGGTACCAAAGGAGCAGGCAGAGAATGGTCAAGGTCACAAGCCGGGTTCAGTAACTCACGGGCAGCGCGATACAGGGGATCAGGCAGAAGGATGGTCAGGCAAGCCAGGGGTTCAACAGGAGACGGTCAGCAGAGGTCAGGATCAAGCCGGGTCAGCAACGAAGCAGGAACACAAGATACCAGGTACAGAGGCTCATGGGAAAACATACACCAAGGCCCAGATCACAGGCCTGGTCATGCCTTAAATACACCTTTCTGCAATCAGCCCCAGGTTTGGCTGATTGCACGGGTGAGCTTCTGGCTGCTGAGAGCACCTGCTGGTCAGCTCTGGTACTGCAGCCCACACGGCAGATGAGTCCCACCACCAGTGCTGAGTCCATTCCTGACAGTACCCCCCCCCCCCTCAAGGAGCGGCCTCAGGACGCTCCAGACAGTCCTTAGTGGGCAAAATGTTCCACCGCCCGGGTCAGGTAACTGGCTGAATATCCAACTGCCGGAGAAAACCGGCTGGCTGGGTTTCCTGCTGGTAGACTTCTCTTTGTGTAGGAGAACCCAGGAAGGCAGGTCACTGAGCACAGGATTTCCAGGAGCAGGCTGGGAATCAGTTATTGGCCAGTTTAGCTGGACATCAGGGGCTGGCATGTCGGGCTGTGCAGCGGGCAGAGGCACGTCAGCGGGCACCGAGTCATCTGGCACGACAGCGGGCACCGAGTCACCGGGCACGTCAGCGGGCCGAGCCATCTAGCAGAACCGTGGGCACAGAGTCACCTGGCAAGTCAACAGGCACCGAGTCACCGGGCATGTCAGCTGGCACCGAGCCATCTAGCAGAACCGCGGGCACAGAGTCACCTGGCAAGTCAGCGGGCACCGAGTCACCGGGCATGTCAGCGGGCACCGAGCCATCTAGCAGAACCGCGGGCACAGTCACCTGGCAAGTCAGCGGGCACCAAGCCATCTAGCAGAACAGCGGGTACCGGGTCACCAAGCTCGACAGCAAGCACCAAGTCAACTGGCACGACAGCGGGCACCGAATCATCAGGCATCAAGTCATCCGGCTCAACAGCGGGCACCGAGTCAACTGGCACGATGGTACAGCGAGTGGGAGCAGGGTACTGACATGTTGTAGATAGCAGGGTATACTGGGTTGTCACTGGGGGTGCTGCTCTCGGGAATGCAGGAAAAGAGCTTTGAGCAGAGGAATGATGAGAAACAGGACTGGTTTGCTGCAAGCTGACTGAGGCTAGCTGTAACAAGTCTGACCATGTCTGCAGTAAGGGTTGGACAACGCTCAGCTTACACAAGGCCTGTCTGGTCGAAGATTGCACTGCGTTTATACACTTCTTTAGCACATGTGGTGAACATGCTGAATAATGCTCCAAGAAGCAATCCGGATCATCCTCCAACAACCATACCAGTGATATTCTTTGACTCACCCTGAATGGAGGAAGGAATTCATCCCTGCTTTCAGGGGTACTAGATGAAGCCAACTCAACACAAGCCTGAATCAATGGTTGCACCTCAGAGAGCTCTAGAACCTGACCTACTAGGGCAGTGGTGGGCAACCTTTTTTTTCAACTGAGCCAAATCTCGCCAAAACCACGATTGAAATTTATTTTGAGAGCCACATTTTTAAAACTGAAAATACATCTCCCATATAGTAATTCATCCCCCATAGTAATTCATCCCCCATATAGTAATTCATCCCCCATATAGTAATTCATCCCCCATAGTAATTCATCCCCCATATAGCAATTCATCCCCCATATAGTAATTCATCCCCCATATAGTAATTCATCCCCCATATAGTAATTCATCCCCCATATAGTAATTCACCCCCCATATAGTAATTCACCCCCCATATAGTAATTCATCCCCCATAGTAATTCATCCCCCCATAGTAATTCATCCCCCATATAGTTTCCCCCCCCATATAGTAATTCATCCCCCATATAGTAATTCATCCCCCATAGTAATTCATCCCCCCTATAGTAATTTCCCCCCTATAGTAATTCATCTCCCCTATAGTAATTCATCCCCCTATAGTAATTCCCCCCCATATAGTAAGTCCCCCATATAGTAAGTCCCCCCCCATATAGTAAGTCCCCCATATAGTAATTCATCCCCCATATAGTAGTCCCCATATAGTAAGTCCCCCCCCATATAGTAAGTCCCCCCCCATATAGTAAGTCCCCCATATAGTAATTCATCCCCCATATAGTAAGTCCCCCCCCATATAGTAAGTCCCCCATATAGTAATTCATCCCCCATATAGTAAGTCCCCCCTGTGTCAATTCACTTACCTTTGCTCTGCACGTTCCTCTCGCCGTGCTTCCCGCGCCGTTCTGGTCTTCAGGGCGGACTGTGAGAGGAGAGGAGTTTGTCACGCTGCCCCGCCTACATCCTGGCTGCCCCGCCTACATCCTGACAGCTGCAGAGTCCTGACTTTTGGGGCGGCCGCCCGAGAGGAGGGAGGGGAGCGGGCGGCCGTCTGAGAGGAGGGAGGGGAGGGGAGGGGGGGATCGGGGGCGCCCTGCACACGCCCGTCCGAGAGGAGGGAGAGGAGGGAGGGGAGCAGGCGCCCGGCACACAGAAGAGCCACATTTAAGCTTGTAAAGAGCCGCATGTGGCTCGCGAGCCGCGGCTTGCCGACCACTGTACTAGGGAATGAGCGACCCGTATGCACTCTAGCAGCTGATCCCTGGTATACTCCCCGCAGAGTCTGATAGGCATATTCTCTGTCATCAAAGACTAGCATAGACAAATATATAACCTCATCAGGATGCATCCTTCACAACAAGTCAAGATGGCTTCCCTGTGCAGCCACTTCTGGTCAGGAAAGGCCTTGGTGTGATGTCAGGAATCTAGGAGTGACCAGAAAGGTGTGGACTGACACAGGGAAACGCAGGTTTCACGTATAGTATAATAATACAGTTTATTATTAGCCACCCAGATATATATATATATAAACGCACAGTGAACAAACCAACCTTCCACTAATCTTAGTAGGTGCAGGAACACAGGCGTAGTCAGGGCTGGAGAGGTGGAACGGTCAGGCCGGCCGTAGGGTTCTGTAATGACCGTTTGGTGGTACCTCTAGTGGTCCCCAGGTCAGGATTCCCCAGGGCGCGGAGTCTAAGTCCCAGTCTGCTTATTCACCAGGGCCCCTGATGGTGGGGATGGACTTGGAGCAGACAGGAACCAGGTCGCGGCCCCTGAGTACACCTGCTAGTGGTAGAGGGATCCGCCAGAGGTATGTGCAGGTACGGCTGGATCCGTGCTGGATGGATGGATGGCAGAGTAGTTAGCATGGTCAGACGGGCCAAGTCAGCAACGTGCGGGCAGCAAGGTACCAAAGGAGCAGGCAGAGAATGGTCAAGGTCACAAGCCGGGTTCAGTAACTCACGGGCAGCCGCGATACAGGGGATCAGGCAGAAGGATGGTCAGGCAAGCCAGGGGTTCAACAGGAGACGGTCAGCAGAGGTCAGGATCAAGCCGGGTCAGCAACGAAGCAGGAACACAAGATACCAGGTACAGAGGCTCATAGGAAAACATACACCAAGGCCCAGATCACAGGCCTGGTAATGCCTTAAATACACCTTTCTGCAATCAGCCCCAGGTTTGGCTGATTGCACGTGTGAGCTTCTGGCTGCTGAGAGCACCCGCTGGTCAGCTCTGGTACTGCAGCCCACACGGCAGATGAGTCCCACCACCAGTGCTGAGTCCATTCCTGACAGTCAGTGTCACTACTGGTAGCATGAAGTGATATCTGGACCCTACAGAGGTTGCACAGACCATGGAGGGAAACACAGACCTCTATAAGCTAGACAATGGCACCCTGACTGCCATTGGGTATCGGGTTGAAATCCTTGGACCCATTGTCAGACCCTACACTGGTGCAGTGGGTCCATCTAAGGGCTCGTTCACACTTGGCTGTTTTACCAACGCTTGCCAAACGCTATAGGTCCGGCGTTTGCAGAGCGGTTTTTAACGCTCGGCAAACGCCGCATGCGCGGTTTAGTGGCGGTTGCTAGGCGTTTGCTGAGCGTTAATAACGCCCCACAAATGCCTATAATGCAGTTTGAGTGGTGTTACTGCTCCGCAACTGCACCGCAAACGCCGGCCGGGCGTTTGCAGAGCGGCACCGTAGACGAGAATAGGAGGCTTCAACACCTCCTGACTCGACCAGAGGCGTCCGTTTTGACGCGACGCAAACGCCCCCGTTAGAACAGCACCATGTGCTGTAATGTGCAGAATTGGCAGAGGCGTTTGGGAAGCGGTAAAAACTTTTCCCAAATGCCTCTCTGCCGCCTGCACACAATGCTAGTGTGATCGTAACCTAACTCTTCCAGGATGGCAAATCAATACGTGCCATTGCCAGAAGATTTGCTGTGTCTCCCAGCACAGTCTCAAGAGCATAGAGGAGATTCCAGGAGACAGGCAGTTACTCTAGGAGAGCTGGACAGGGCCATAGAAGGTCCTTAACCCATCAGCAGGACTGATATCTGTTCCTTTGTGCAAGGAGGAACAGAATGCGCACTGCCTGAGCCCTACAAAATTACCTCCAGTGGGCCACTGATGTGAATGTCTCTGACCAAATAATCAGAAACAGACTTCATGAGGGTGGCCTGAGAACCTGAAGTCCTATAGTGGGCCCTGTGCTAACTGCCTGGCACCACAGAGCTCGATTGGCATTTGCTATTGAACACCAGAATTGGCAGGTCTGCCACTGGCACCCTGTGTTTTTCAGATGAGAGCAGGTTCACCCTAAGCACATGTGACAGACATGAAAGGGTCTGGAGAAGCTGTGGAGAAAGTTTTGCTGACTGTAACATTGTTCAGCATGACTGTTTTGATGGTGGGTCAGTGATGGTTTGGGGGGAATATCCATGGAGGGAAGCACAGACCTCTATAAGCTAGACAATGGCACCCTGACTGCCATTAGGTATCGGGATGAAATCCTTGGACCCATTTTCAGACCCTACACTGGTGCAGTGGGTCCTGGGTTCCTCCTGGTGTATGGCATACCTGGTCTCATGTTGTGAGAGTATGCAGGTAGTTCCTGGAGGATGAAGGAATTGATACCATTGAATGGCCCCCACGCTCTCCTGACCTAAATCCAATAGAAAACTTCTGGGATATCATGTTTCAGTCCATCTGATGCTGCCAGGTTGTACCTCAGACTGTCCAGGAGCTCAGGGATGCCCTGGTCCAGATCTGGGAGGAAATACGCTGGGACACCATTTGTTGTCTCATTAGGCGTATGCCCCACCATTGTCAGATATGCATACAAGCACGTGGGGGCCATACAAACTGAGTACCATTTTGAGTTGCTGCAATGAAATTTCAGCAAAATTAACTAGCCTTCTGCATCATTTTTTCACTTTTGATTTTCTGGGTGTCTTTGATAGAAATGAAAATTATCAACACACAGAGGACTGAATGCAAACAATGGAGCATCCTTACGTTCCTAACATATTACCCAGTCCATATTGGTATAGAAATCCAGCATGATTTTTTTTTTTTTTCCCCATGGAGATCTGATGTGTTTTCAAAGTGTTCCTTTAGCTTTTTGAGCAGTGTATATACTTCATGTGTTTGTAATTTATTCTGTATTTTTAATTGTATAATAAAGCTTGTATTAGTTTTATATATACTGTGTGTGCGTGCGCCACCAAATAGATCGTACACATCTACAGTTTTTTTTGTTTTTTTTTTCTCTTTCTTTACCCTTGTGGGATTGTTCCCATAGCGAAGTAAGGATATGATGATTCCATATTTTGAGTCTGTGTAATTGCTAATGTCAAAATTCAATACCCAGTGACTGATCCTTTGATTGCATAAATGTGCATGTCATCAGGCTACTGCTCTCCTTGCTTCAAATTATGAACAGATGTACTTGGGGTCAAATGGCAACATTTAGAAAAGTGGTTTGGTTTTTGTTACAGCGCCTCTAATGTTTGCATCGTGCAGTACACAACCTCTGGAGGCTGCACGCAGGGTTTAAGTATTCTTGTTGTCATTGCTGTGACTCAGAAGTGCACACAGATTAGCAGGTCAG